GCCACCAGGCCGGCACAACCCAAAACACCGGAACAACCCAACACCTGCAAGGGTTAGCTTATGTGCGAAAATGCGCCCCAATACCACCGTAACGAGGCCCAGTAGAGCACGGAGGCGGGAAACGCACGGCACTCGCAAAACTGAAAATTCACCCCTGGAGGCGGGGCTGGGAAGGGCGCCCCGGGGACAAAATATGTTCTTTTGCGGGCATTTCGGGTACGACCACACCTGGCCGAATGCACCATATCCCGTCCGATTTGTGAAGTTAAGCGGCCACAGGCCTTGTTAGTACGGCGATCAGTGGTGGGGCTGGAACCCGGGGTGCCGTACCCTCCTCAACTTTTTTTTTGCCAACATCTCGGGGTGGGTTGCCGAGGACCTCTGATGCCAACCGCGGCGCGCCCTTGGCAATAAGGGCTGTCCAATCGCGGCGCCCAGCTTACGCACTTCCATCTCCCAGGGAAGCCAAACATACTCCATACATTGTTGTGGTGGGGCAGGCGGTGGGGTGCCAACAAACCAAATACCTCTGCGACGAAATGTTCTTATCGTACTTACTTTTCTTTTTCTTTTTCTGCATTTCCCATGGATTTCCTTTTCACACCACACATGGCAGTAGCGGAACGCCTTAGCACATCTCCATGGCGGAATTTGCCTTTATCATAGGGAAGGAAGGACTAACACCCTCATGTTCTTTTTGTTCATGGCGCCGCGTGCCACCAAGTAAAAGGTGCGGTTGAATGGCCACGCCATGTCACGAGGGGAACGGGGAAGGGTCATCTTTGCGGAATACCTTTCAAACCCATCTTACTCAGCGTTGAAGTGGGGAAAGCAAGAGTTTTCCNTGGGGGAAAGTGTTCTTATTGTGCTTATTTTTTCTTTTCTGCATTTCCCATGGATTTCCTTTTCACACCACACATGGCAGTAGCGGAACGCCTTAACACCATCACCATAGCGGAATTTGCCTTTATCATGGGGGTTTGGTGAATCCCTTTTCTCTTTGTTCTTTTTGTTCATGGTGCCGCGTGCCACCGAGTAAAAGGTGCGGTTGAATGGCCACACCATGGCGTCACGAGGGGAACGGGGAAGGGTCATCTTTGCGGAATACCTTTCAAACCCACCTTACTCAGCGTTGAAGTTGGGAAAGCAAGAGTTTTCCACCATTCCCAACCCCACTCATTTTATAAGTGAAACACCCCCGGGAGCCTCCCCACCCCTCT